GCAGGGCTGGCAGAGCAGTGGGCTGCCTGCAGCAAACTGCTGGCAGGGTCACCCAGTACGTGGCAACAGGGCTGCCCAGCGGAGTTGGGAGACCGGAGCTGTAGTAGCTTGGTGGAGCAGGGAATCGTGGTGTGTGGCCGCCCAGCAGGTCCTGGAGCCCCAGCATGGTGTGTGCGGCTGCCCTGCAGAACCCAGAGGCCCAGTGCGTGGCTGCCCTGAGGGTCCCAGAGCCCTGTTGTGGTGCACACAACTGCCTGGCAGATCCTGGAGCCATGGCAGCGATGGCTGCCCAATGGGGTTAGCGGGGCCAGCAGGAGGTGGGGAGCCAGCTGGGAGGCCAACAGGTGGGCCGGTGGCAGGGGTCCAGAAATGACCGCCCTTGGCCCCGCAAAATCCCTCATCTGGGACCGATCAGGTCCCGAGAGTGCCAGACTAGGGAGGGCCAACCTGTAGTCTTTGTATCTCACTGTCCCTTTTCATTCCTCTTGCAGCTAAATAACTGAAGTGTTTAACACAATACTTTTATGGCTAGATACTGCTCTTCTCTGAGTGAAAGCTGTTGCTAGATAAACTCCGCCCTTGGCCCCGCAAAATCCCTCATCTGGGACCGATCAGGTCCCGAGAGTGCCAGACTAGGGAGGGCCAACCTGTAGTCTTTGTATCTCACTGTCCCTTTTCATTCCTCTTGCAGCTAAATAACTGAAGTGTTTAACACAATACTTTTATGGCTAGATACTGCTCTTCTCTGAGTGAAAGCTGTTGCTAGATAAACTGGAAAATTGATGTGCACATCTCGCTTAGAGCATTATCTGCATTTTTACTATGTCAAGTGAACAGAAGGCAGGAACTGTTTCTTGTTATAGCTATGTATTAGATTACACCAATTCTATAATGTCGACCACTCTTGTAAATTTGGCGATGCTCTTAAAGTCCCAGCTCCTGGAGGCAGTTGATCATGTGAGCATCTCTTCCTTAATTAAAAAAAAAAATCAGTCGATTGCAGAGAAAACCCTGAAAAAGAAACAAAAGCAATCCCCCAAAGATAAATCAAAACCCAAAATGTATGTGTGTTAAATGATTTCTGACCGCTTCGGGTTGGTAATACTGATTTTTGCTAAACATATATTTAAGAGGTTTTTTTAATCAACCATGTTCCTGTTTCTAAGAGTTCCAAAGCTATGTAGAATGTGTGAACATTCAAGCTCTTCAAGTGCATATTTAGACTAGATACCATTTCTGCTTGCAGCATTTAGGATTTCTTTGCAGTGCTGGATAAGAGTTTATTTTCAATAATGAAAAATTGTGCATGTACCTTCAGTAAGGTTCAGTCGCCATTAGTGTAGCAATCTGTTCGTGCTCCAGGTTGACAGATGAGATGGTCACTTGATGATATGCAAATGTTCTCTTGTACAATTTGAGTTCCTTTCCTCTATAAAACAGTTCTGTTCTAAACAGCTTGCTTTAGATTTCCTTTGGTAGGAGTTTCAGTTTTGCGAACATGGAGCCATGCACATTTTTCTTGAACAATCAGTTTCATATGGAGCTGCTTATATTGAAATCCTCTACACTGAAAGCTCCATTTCGTCTGATGAAGCTACATTTTTACATTTAGAAAGATTTTTAATTTATTTACAAACTCTGCTTACCACCAAGTGAGCTAACTGGCCGTCTGCAGTATTTTTCTATGTTCTCTTACTCTAAATGTTCTCCTTTCGTCATTTCCCTTCATCTTTCTTTTATAAGGCAACTTCCCCTTCAGTATTAATTGTGATCCAAAGATTCTCTTTCACACATGGCAGCACTAAAAGATATGAGCACATGTGAGCTACAGGCTGGGGCACTGCTAAATCCCAGCATCTGAGCAACTTGGTCTGTCATGCAAATCTTCCCTGGCCTGTTCAGTCATGAGCAAATATTACTTTCACAGGAACATCTGATGAGTTGAAAGACAGTGTCATAGTTTCTGAGCAGCCCCCAATAGTGTCATAACCAGGATGAGCTGAGGGTCCTTGAGGTGAAAGATCAATCTTAATGTATTTGAAGACAGGTTAAACCTGGGACATTATCCATGGTTGCCTCTTGCCCCCTGCAAAGACTGCAGCCTTGATGTTGTTTCACCCAAAAGCTGGTGCCCATTATGGAAATTTAAGGCTGTTATTGCTCCTTTTCGCTTCAGAATCATACCCACATAATGTACAAACCATGGTTAAAGTTGATAGTGAGGGTATTCTAGTTGTGCATGTTAATTTTAGATTAACATTTCCAGGAAAGACCTGGTTACTTCAGATCCCCCTTCCTAATTTGAAATATTCCTTGCTTTGCAGTACCAAATATGCCACAACAACGTCAAGACCAGCATCATCAGAGCACCATGATGCATCCTGCCTCAGCTGCAGGCCCCCCTATTGTAGCTACACCACCAGCCTATTCAACACAGTATGTTGCCTATAGTCCCCAACAGTTTCCTAATCAGCCTCTTGTGCAGCACGTGCCACATTATCAGTCTCAGGTAAGACTCCCTTAGCTTGTTGCCTCTTGCTGCATTCATATTGGATCAGATGTGTAATTAAAAGACTTAATTCTGGAATTCTACATACTGTATCTTCTGTTACATCATGTAATTGCTACAAGCAATATGCAAACGCTGTAGAAATATTGCTACTTTATACTTCACATCAAAGCCCTTCAAAAACGTTAATGCCCACTAGTAAATACAAATCTCAAATACAGAATATCTACCTCATTATCTTCATCCCATTGTAGAATATCTCTTTCAGTTGATTAATTGGACATAGATTTAAAAGATGCAGTTGCTGAAATAATTGGTGTGATAAGATGGATGGGATATAGTATAGTTTAAAACTTATTTTGTTTCATTTAAAGATCACCTTATTTTGTCAACTGAAGATCAGCAGAATAATTCTTTGTATTAGTTTCCTTTTGTGGAAGGTATTTCTCATTTTAAGTTTTCAGGTGTTACCTGGCTAATGGTGACACATGTACTTAGAAAATTTTTTGTTGCTAGTACAAAGCAAGCTGTAGCTTTCCAAATTATCATTAAGTGCCTTTAAGCATGCACTGTATGAGTTTGATTAAAGGATGTATTTAACTTTTTTGTACAGCCGTGTGTTTTGACTAATTAATTTGTCTTTTATTGGACACAGCATCCTCATGTTTATAGCCCTGTAATACAGGGTAACACTAGAATGATGGCACCACCAACACATGCACAGCCTGGTTTAGTATCTTCTTCAGCAACACAATATGGTGCGCATGAGCAGACGCATGCTATGTATGGTAGGAAATATTTTGTGTTATTTTTAACTTTTTACATTGTTACATTGTGCAAGGGTATATTTACTATCTCAAGCTTCCACCATTGGCATCACAGCTAAAGTTATAATAGTAGATCCAGAATGGTTCGTAAAAATAGATCCAAGTATACTAGTTTTAATAAGACACTAGTGTTGGAGATGAAGTGTCAGCATAAGAGGCTGCTACAGAATACCAACTTAAGCAAGTCTGTCTCAGGATTTTTTGATGCTGTTAGTACTACATCCTTGTCTATTTTTTTATTCTAACAAGGACTGTAGTTTTGTCACAAAACTTGATTTCTAGTTCTCACAACATTAGCATGATACAACCACTTCTCTAATGCTAGTAGTGTGCATTCACGGTATAAAAAGATTTGTCATCTGAGCAAAATGTGTGTGGGGGAGATCCTCCTTTTCTTGGTAAATCCAAGAATATAAATCCTGTTTTGAACATTTCATGTGTAAGTGCTTGCTCTATGGTTTCAATGACAACTAGAAGTCTCCAAAGTTGCCAATCTGGCACTTTGCATTAGCACTAACCTCACTGAAATACTTAGATTGAAACACAAATTAAGATACTGTTTACAAAATACAATGCAAAGAATCTCTAAAGCCACATAAATCTGCACTTAATAGCTCATCCAAAGGAAAAACTGGCTCAAGAATTTGCCACTGAAGACTCAGTCCATGATCTTAAAGGCGGTTTAGTGCTTGACTCAGATAGCAAAACAGAACAGTCATGTTTTGAAAATATAATTATTCAACAGGTTTTGACTTAGTATTTGATGAAGAAATTTTGTTAGGTTGATCATAATGTATACCTAGGGTCTGCTAAAGGATTTCATTTAACTTCAGACATCATTTGCATGAGGTTTTTTGTGACAAATTTTTGCATTTTTCTCCTTATGAATGAATATACTGTCTATTATGAAAACTTGCAACCCCAGAAAGCTAAAGCTTAATGCATGGTTAAGATTCTGATAACAGAATCTGTGCTGTCTTGAAATAGCATACTGAAGCCAGATCTTTGCTCATGTATGTTAAAATAATTCAAGAAAGAATAATGCAGAT